TTCTGCAACGAGTAGAGGAGTGGAGAACTCTTCTTGTGAAATATTTCTGGACTTTCTCAACTGTGTTAATATCAGATACGTAATGTGGGTTCCAGACTGATGAGCTGTATTTGAGTATTGATCTAGCAAATGTTTTGTATGTTCTGGTTATTAGTGTAATATTATCAGACAAAAAGCTATATAAAATTAGGTTAACAATTCTTAACACCTTTTTGGCCATGTAGTTACAATGGGCTCTAGCATTTAGATCATTAGAGATGAGTACTACAAGATCCTTGACAGAGTTTGGATCATCAACAAGGTCTTGACTATTCAGCCTGTATTTTATTTTATGGTGGGTTTTTTTGCCAATATGTAAGACAGAGCATTTGTTTGCTGAGATTTGAAGTTGCCATTTGTTTGACCATTATGATACATAGTCGAGGTCTTTGTGAAGGATAGCAGTATTGTCTGTGGTGTTGAATAGATTTACATCATCAGCGAAGAAAATGCAGTTGCTCTTAATATGATCACAGAGGTTATTTATGTAGAGTATGAAGAGAGTTGGTCCTAGAACACTGCCTTGGGGACACCACTGTTGACAGGTACAGAATTTGATACGATGCTCCCAATTTTGACCATTTGTCTGTTTGACAGGAATGCTTCTATTCAGTTATGCAGTTGTCCAGAGATACCATAAGATTTCAGTTTTAGGAGTAGTTTGTCATGAACCACTGAACCAAAGGCTTTACAGAAGTCTATGTAGATTGCATCTATTGCTTTTCCCTGATCGAGTTGTGTAGTCCATATGATTTTGCAATGTAGGAGTTGCAGGATAGTTTTTTTCTGAAACCAAATTGTTTATTAGAGAGTAGGTTGTTTGTTTCTAAGTGGAGGATAATGGATTGGTTAATAATTGATTCCATGACTTTACAGGTGACACAGCATAAAAAGATTGGTCTGTAATTTTCAACTAGGCTTGGGTCTCCCTTTTTGAAGATGGGGATGATTGTGGCTTGTCACCATAGTTTTGGCAAGGAGCTGATTGTGAAAGATTTTTCAAAGATTATGCTTAGAGATTTGGCTATGGCAGTGGATAGCTTTTTTAAGAAGTAGGCACATATTCCGTCTGGTCCAATGGATAGGGATGGTTTTACATTGTGTAGTGCTTTTTCAACATTGTCTACTGTCAAATCGATATGTATTAGATCATTGTAGTTGTCTGTGGTTTGACTAGGAAATATGGGCATGATTTTAAAGGTGATCAGGTTAGACATTATATAAAGTAGAGAAATAATGCCACCAATGTTGAAAACACCAATGTTGAAATACAAGGTCATTGATGGTGTATTTAGCATCGTGACCATGATCTGCAGAAGCTCTATTGTCTCCCATAGCATGAAAAATAACATAGCAAATCATAGATGTGCTTTGCCCAAATGTTTATCAATGTAACTTGTGAATATAGGACAACCTATTGCTATTTCCTTTAGATGATTTGAATGCAGAAATGTATTGGAAAAATAGACACAAACAGCCTTGCTCATCAAATCTCATATTTGAATACAAAAAAGAACAAGGCTTATAAATAGCATCAGACATTCTTCTTCATTCTTCTTACTGTTTAGCTCTTCTGCTTGGAAATCTGAAGAGTCCAGAGGAATGGAATTAAATATGGTGAATTATGGTGCACAACATCTCATATTCTTCTGAAACTGCAGAAGAAAATAATAGTGTTCAGAGTTTTGCAGCGTTAATTTAGTGCCAGAAAAATAAACACAGATGGCTGATGCTTCATTTAGCATCTTTTTAAACATAATAAGTAGATTTTACAAGCCAATTGTAGATTTCTCCAACATGGAGCAAACTCTGAGAGAAACGTGTTCCGAGCAACTTACAGCAGCATGAGAGAACAGACATCAGTTTCACTTTAGTTCAGCAGGCAAGCAAGATACACAGCAGAGGAGAGAAGCAGGTTCATTTCAAATAGACAGACTCAGAGCTTAACATAGCTGCAGAGTTGCAGGGCTTAATATAGAGCCATACCTAGGCTACTTCTAGTTTTGGTTTCCAAATAGTCCTCATTGGCTGACCTAGTTGTCATGCTCTATTTCAGTTCATGAATATACCCTGACAAATTGATCCCACCTCAGTGTAAATTGTGTGTGGCTTTCTGTGTAACAGAAAGAACAAAACAGGTTCCAATCAAGGCAAATACTATTCAGAAAAGTAGTGAGCTTCCATAATGAGAAAACAAGTCAAAAAGGTCCATCATTTATCAGAAAATATCATTGACTTTGTATCATCAAGAATTGCTCTTTTCTGTCCAACAATCTTTGAAATATAATAAAATGGGTTCATTTTACAAAATCCTATGGTCAGTATTATCATATGATTGATGGAGTCAACTTTGACTTGTGGGGCTTGCAGGAGCAAATACATGAATTTTTCTTGACATTTTCAGAAGTGGTTTGCCATTGTGTTCTTCTTAGAGCCAACAAGGAATGACTGGCTCAAACCATTGCAGGTGATATTTATGTCACACAAAACTGTGCTTGTCATTTTGTTGTGACCTAGGCCCTACAGCTATGAGAAACTGGATTATATGAAATGGATGTCAGGTTTCCAAGTGATGAAATCTATTTAAAAAGAAAAGAGCAAAGTCCATCTTCCAAAACAATTTTTTTATTTAGGATAGCATCAAATTGATAAAGTCCATGGTAATTCTGGATCTGACACAAGCCTGAAATCCTTCCCCCATAACCACCAAAAAGAAAATAAGGAAAAGAATATATACCAAGCCTAACTAAAATGGCTACACATGTGTCAATTTCAGGCTTGACAATGGAATGAGGTTAAATCCTTGTGCTGACTAGCTGGTAAATCTCTGCTAAAATCTTAACCCTGGCATGATATGTCTCCTCTTTGAGGATCAGTGAACTCTAAGATGAGAATTCTTCTGGGCTCCTGGCTATTGATAGATTTTCAAGGGAAGGGAGAACATTTACTTAGCTTTTTCTGCTTCTCCACTTTTCTCTCTATAGAGAGTGAGGAGCACTGGCAAAATCAATCATCTCTTGATTATTGCAGAATGAGACTACAGTAATATATCTTATGTCAAGTTGAGATTTAATTTTTTTTAGAATCAGTAACCAATGCAGAAGCCCATCTTCTGGTAAACATTTGAAATATTACAACCAGTTAAAACCTCAACTGTCAATTGTCAAAAGATAATTTATAAATTTCCTGGAAGGGTGACAATTAACAGGCTTTCCTTCTGGAATAAGATCAGGGTGATTTAATGCACTTTGGGAGATTTTGAAAGGCGTAATTTCACTTTCTCCTTGTATAAGTAGGTGATTGTCACCCCACCAATATTCATAGTTCCATTTCTTTTAACTAGGTAAATCTCTTTAGGATCAAAAGATTCATTTGGTTAGTTGATTTGACTAGTTGGGAAAAAAAATAATGTATATCTAAATTCTCCTTTTGAGACAAACTTTTTCTTCTTGTTGTCTATGGAGATTCTCGGTCATCCAGGTCAGGGTTGTCCCAAATATGCTTTTTCAAAAGGCAACTGGACTTTGTTTTTCCTTGAAGACATTTTGCTTTTCATCCAAGAAGATTCTTCAGTTCTGATTGAATGGTGGAGGATGGAAAGATTTGTATTCCTTACAATCATCTCATTGTTAGCATTCTTTCTGAGAGGGGTTGACCCCACTTAGAGATTTATTTGTGCCTTCCCCCACTTCTTTCTTAAACCAATAAACCAAGGATTTTTTTTTCTTTTTGTGTTTAATTTACATAGGCAAGAAACTACTTTCACATAATCTGCTGGTTGTGGTTGGGTAACTACATTCCTATTATTATTTATTTGAAAATAAAAAGAACAATGCAGACTATTAGTAATCTGTCCACCAATTAGTTGGGTTGGCAATATATAAACTAAAAATGTATGTTTGTAGCCTTAAGACAAAGTCACTGTGTTGATTTGTACTATATTCCGATTGGTTGGTTGTGTTCTGAATTGCCATAAGAGGGCACTAGAGATCATGGCTTGCTCTCTCTGACATTCTGTATCTCTGACATTCTATTTCTCTGACAGTCTGTCTCTCGGACATTCTGTCTATCTGACATTCTGTTGCTATCTAAGATTTTCTGTTATATTTATGCTGTGCTTATACTTTGATATTTTTGTTTACTGGAAATGACAAAGGCAACCGGTAAGAAGATTTTGTAATTGGATATTCTTTGGACTGTAAAAAGTATATGACCTGGACCGTTTATTGGACTGTGCTATTTCTTAAAGTAAACTTTAACTCAATTCAGTGTATGGCTGTGTGTGGCTGAATAATTATTCATAACTACTCTCATAAATGTTTTCATGTGAATGTCCTTGTTACTCAAGGGTTATTCTGTTCATACCATAACACAGACCAACTAGCAGATGCTCTAAAAGTTTCAGTTTTATGTTATTGTATTTATATTGTTCCTATAAAAATCCTTGGTTGGATTCAATTTATTATTTCATAATGTCACTCATTCTTCCTTATCTTTTCCCAATATTCTTAGCCATGCTCTAGGGTTCTTTATGTGGACTGGTGCAAAGATGTGGTTCACTTCTTTTCTATTTGTTGTGGTGCTAAGACAGTCTAATTATTCCAATTCCACCTTTCAGAATTCCACCAAAATATTGACATGTATGTTGTTGTATGTTGTTGGACTAGAAATCAAATTTTTCTGAAAATCAATCTTTTCTACATAACATTTTGGACACTGAATATTTGGCATAATATTACAAGTAACTCAAGGAAAATATATGTAACCCTTTCTGCCTTTTCCCAACAAACTATTCTACCTCTGAAATAAAGAATGAGTTGTCTTTCTTTATGAAGTGCTTATGTTATTCATGGTTATTTTGAGAAGAAGGATTGATTCTGAACTAATTTTACCAAACTGAAAGCAGAATAATGTTTGAACTAGAGAGAGAAGCTTACTAAAGAAATAAATAAAACAGGAATTCAGTTTTCTTTCTTTATTAGCTTTTCCTTTCTGTTCAAATCAGGCCTCATAACAATAATATAGCATTTGGGGAAAAAGATGAAGCCAAGTAATCCAGCTGCAGAAGCCAAAATGGAGAAGATCTCCACAGCCACCATGTACTTTCCCTTGGTGCTCAGATAGGTGGGAACAAACAACACCCAGACACTACAAAAGAGAAACACGCTGAAGGTGATAAATTTGGCTTCATTAAAGCTATCAGGTAATTTCCTGGCTAGGAAGGCCACTGTGAAGCTGATGGTTGCCAAGAACCCCATAAAGGTAAAGACAATGTAAAACATGATAGCTGAGCCTTCATTACATTCCAGGACAATTTCTTCAGGCATGGCGTGCATGTCTGAATCTGGGAATGGGGGAGATATTGCCAGCCACAAACTACAAATAGTTATTTGCACCAAAGAGCAAGACAGGACAATAGTGTTGGCCAGCCTTTTTCCCACCCATTTTCTGATTCTGGAGCCTGGTTTGGTGGCCATGAAAGCAAGGACCACTATGGTTGTCTTCCCCAATATACAAGAAATTGCTATAGAGAAGATAATGCCAAAAGCAATTTGTCTTATGAGACATGTTATTTGGTCAGGTTGTCCAATAAAAAGCAAAGTACAAAGGAAGGAGAGGAGGAGAACAACTAGAAGACTATAGGTCAGGATCCTGTTGTTAGCTTTGACAATAGGAGTGTCCCGCTGTTTAATGAAGATCCCCAGTATTATGGTTGAGATCAAAGAAAAGAAGAAAGCTACACTTGTCAAGGTGATTCCCAAGGGTTCTTTATAAGACAAGAAGGTTATATTTTTTTTAATGCAAAGCATCTGGGCCTTGTTAGGATAGTTTTCTTCAGGACATGAGAAACAGTCATCTGAATCTAGAAGAGGAAATAGAGTTGTCAAACACATTAGAATTCAGAATTTGCACAGTCTTTCCCAACTTTCAGATGAAGCCTATTTCAGTGCCTAGAATTTCCAGACTAGGATTTTGGAATCGAACCTATATGAAAGAGTGTAGACCAGGAAAGTTCTATAACTAAATTGGGTAAGAAGAGAAGCATAGTAATCACTCTGATTTTACTTAGTAAGTTATTTATCAAAGATTCATATTGCTGCCTAACTCATGGTGATGTTGGATGTCTTCCAATGATAAGACTCCATATAAAAAAGTCAATACACTCCACCTCCCTGGGAACAATATTCAGGCAAACCAGTTGATGTGCTCTGCATCAGCCTGAATGCTTAGGTTTTAGAAAAAAACTATTGCAACCCATCTCCACAATCCACATCTCAGACATACCAATAACATCCAAGCCTCCTACAACCTACCCCATCCCATTGGGCCCACCACCTTGGTAATTACAGAGAATGAGGTGCAAAGTCTATTTCACAGACAAAAGCCAGGAAAAGCACAAGCCCAGACAAGATAACTCCTTCTTGCTTAAAAGCTTGTGCAAACCAACTGTCCCCATCTTCACCCGCATCTTTAATAAATCACTAAAGATGTGCTATGTTCCTTCTTTCTTTAAATGCTCTAATATCATCCCAGTGCCGAAGAAACCTTCCATCAGGGAACTGATTGACTACAGACCAATTGCTCTAAAATCTGTAATTATGAGGACCTTTGAAAGAGTAGTGCTCACCCACCTGAAAACCATCACGGACCTGCTGTTAGACTCCTTGCAATTTTCCTACTGAGAAAATAGATTGACAGAGGATGCTGTTATTATGACTCTGCACTACATCCTACAACAGGGGTCACCAACCTTTTGGACCTCAGAGACCACCAAACTCATGATTTTAAATCCCAGGGACTACTAACCAGTTATATGGGAGTGGCCTAATTTGTGGATGTGGCTTGGTTTTCATGTGATTGGCTGGGCATGGTTTGCATGTAAATATTATAAATATTTATATAAATATTGATTTTTTTATTTAAAAAAGAGCAACTTTTACCCAAAATCAGACATAGAGGCAGGCAGATTGAGTTGCACACAGTATCACAGATTAATTCAGATATCTACCTCTCTGCCATCAGATAGCTCAGTCTGTCACATAAAGTTTGCTTGCAAGCAAACTCATAAAATTTGCTAGCAAGCAAACTCACAAAATTACCATGTATGTAACTATTGAATTTTTTATATAAAAATGAGCAATTTTTACCCAAAATCAGGCAAAGCAGGCAGGCAGATTGAGTTGCTCACATAATCATTCAGTGATTTATCTATCTGCCATCAGCCAGCTCAGTGTCACATAAAATTTGCTTGCCATGAGTCTGCACTTAATAATAGAACCTTCAGTCCTAAGGGAGGTTTGGCTGTGCTTAAAAGCAGAGATGAAGATCTAAAGACTAGCTAGAAAGCAAGAAATCCAATCATTTCCTGCTTCCTAGCTAATCTAAATCTCACAGCTGATGGTTGGAAAAATAGCAATTTAGCAAGCAAGTTTGCCGGGTAAGGAGTGAATGAGCGGGGAGGGTTCTGGTGGGCCATGTGGATGGCGCAGCCTTGTGTTTCTGTGCAGTGTGGATTAATTGCTTTGGAGGGAGTGCTCTGGGAGTGAGAAGCTTATCTGCATCCAAACAAAATTTTCTTGTGGCCCACCAGTGGGCTGCAGCCTACCAGTTGGTTACCACTCTCCTGCAAATCTTGAATCTCCAAAGACCTATGAAGGGTTCTCTTTGTAGATTTCAGCTCAACATTCAATATCATCATTCCAGATATTCTTCTTACTAAACTAAGTTGTACCTGACCGAATGTTCGGAGTCTTTACCTCAATGTGAACTGCAGGAAGAGTCTTGGGGATTCCCCAGAAAGACTGGCTGTTGGGAACAGCGCATGGTATGGGGTCCACCCCCACTGCAAACTTCTTTTGATGGAAATCCCAATCATATAGTTTTATTTCTCAGCCAAGTAGTAAATCATTTGGAGTTATATGCAACATATTACCCCTCCCAATGGTCAGTGATAGTAGCAATTACTGGAGTGTTAACTGGAGATGCAGCAGACTGCATGGCAGAGTTGCATAGTGCCCATTCTACAGAATTGATTGATGTAGGGTTATTCTTGGATTTGCTTCATAATCAATTTAAGGATAAGTCTAGAGTACACCAGACTGAGGTAGCAATAATGACATTAAAACAGAATGGAAGTCCAGCTATTGAATACGTCAGGGAGTTCAGATGATTGGTGGGAAACTGAGAACTTGGCCAGAATGCCTATTGATTAGGGAATTCAGGGCTGGTTTAGATAGAGGATTATGACAGGCTTGTCTCTACAGGGGTGTGCCCCAACAAATAACAGACTGGTATAAAACTGTTGTTGAACTAGACGTAGGGTTGAAGGAATTTAGAGAGAAATCTGAAGGTCCACGAAGAACTGGTCCAGTTGGGACTAATGTGGGAATAGGAAGGGGTGTGCAAGGAATTGTGGCCAACAATATCAGGGGTTGTTTAAATCTTAGGTGTTTTTGTTGTAATATATTGGGACATAGGGCATTTGAATGTCCTACGATAGATACAGGACGTATGAAGCAAACAGGAGGGGTCCTTCCTGAAATGTTTCACAAATTGGATATAGTGGCAGGGGAGTTAGTAGTCATGAAAAATCACAGGGTGTCACGCAACAAGAACTATCAATAGCTCCGGTCACATAAGAGATGAAGCAATATAGTGAACAGCGGCAGCCAAGAGTTGTGTCGGGACTGTATGACAGTGGTGATGACAGCCAAGAAGACACCATGGTAAGCTCTCCTGTTAGGCCATTTATAATACCTATAGTATTAGATAATGTAGGGCTTAGAGGCCTATATGGAGCATTGATAGATACCGGATGTACCAGACGTCTGATTAGTCAATGTGTGGTGGATGAATGGCATGTGCCATTAGAACCTCTTCCTACTCCCATAAAGTTCGAGCAGGTTGATGGGTCATTCTTTTTGGGAGTACCAGCTATTATGATGACTGTTCCTATTCGATTAGAAATTGAAACCCATTGGGAATGATTAAGATTCATTGTGGTATTGGAAATGCGAGAGGCAATTATTTTAGGTTTAGTTTGGTTGGATCATTGGAAACCCACCATTTGGTGGGAAGGCAGTTTTAGATGGTTGAGGCTTACTATAGGACCAGAACTACCACAGCAAGAACCAGAAGTACAACAACAGAGTTTAAGGGTGGAGCCCATTAGTTTGCTTGATGAACATAGTAGTTCCTCTTTTCCATCAGTATATCAGGATTTGGCGGAAGTGAGACAAAGTGTGAGATTCTACCACTGCACTACCCAACAGACTGTGCTATTGAACTGATTCCAGGGGCAAAATTGCCCAAACCCCAGATGTATGCAATGACACCTAAAGAAATGACAGAAATGCAGAAGTTTCTAGACAAGAATTTAGCTTGGGGATTCATTAAAGCCGGACAATTGCACATTGTTGCCCCTGTACTATTCCGAGAAAAAAAAGATGTATGTTTGTATGTTGAGTTTAGAGGACTTAATGCGGTCTGCATCAATAACCTGTACCCATTACCATTAATCAGTGAGTTGTTGGCTACCTTATCAACTGGATGTTTCTTTACTAAATTAGACTTGCATGAGGCATATTATTGGGTGAGAGTAAGACCTGAAGATGAATGGAAGACAACATTCAATTGTCCCCTTGGAAGCTATCAATTTTGAGTAATGCCTTTTGGACTACAAGGGCTGCCCACGGTATTCATGCAACTTGTTAATGGTGTACTACAAGAACATTTATACCATGGGGTGAGAGTATATTTGGTTGATATACTTATTTATACAAAAACTGTGGAAGAACATATCCAATTGGTGAGGAGTATATTAACTAAATTATTAAATGTCAAATTATATATACAAGTATTTAAGTATGAGTTCCATTGTATGAAACTAGACTACCTGGGATACCGAATCTCTAATGCAGGATTGGAGATGGATCCAATGAAAGTAAAAGCTGTAATGGAATGGAAAATCCTCCAAACAAGAAAACAGGTACAAAGTTTTTTGGGCTTTGCAAACTTTTATCAACAATTTATACCTAAATTTACCCACATTGCACTACCATTAACCAAATTGCTAAAAACAAAGAAACAAATAGAAAAACCAAAGCCAAGCCAACCAGTTAAATGTCAGAACAATGTCAACAAGCTTTTGAAACATTGAAATCATTATTCTCTCAAGCACCCATTTTACAGCATCCTAATCCAACGAAGAAGTACATTGTGCAGGAAGATGTGAGTGATGTGGCCATAGGGGCTGTCCTGTTACAAGAGAACAAAACTGGAGCACTACAGCCATGGGCATATACATCATGGAAGTTTACTACTACAGAGAGAGGAGATATGGGAGAAGGAGGCCTTCACTGTAAAATGGGCGCTAAGTACTTGGAGGCATTTCCTGGAAGGGGCACAGGAAGTTTTTGAAGTGTGGACAGATCACTGAAATTTAGAAGCATTACAAAAACCAAGATGATTGTCTCCTAAGAAGGTCAGGTGGGCCCTGTACTTTAATCGATTTAATTTCATATTAAAGTATGTACCGAAAGGACAGAATTTCATGGTGGGTGCCTTGTCCTGGTTTCCCCAATATCAATCAACAAGAGATATTATTATTCAACCCCTAATTGTTGATAACTCATCCAAAAATGTTGGTCAAGTGACTCATTTAAAGGAAACAACCTATGACACAATACGAAATGCTACTGCAGAGGATGATTGGCTGGAAAAAAAAATCCCATTTGTATTCATTTAAAGATGGCATAATTTGGAGAGGAAATAAAGTGTATGTGCCAGCCAAGTGTAGGAACAAAATACTTACAAATTGTCACGATGTAAAACAGGCAGGACATTTCAGATTTTTAAAGACAT